AACTTGGTGTTGGATGGCGCAGGGGGAAGAACATTTGCAGAGTACCAGAAGAACTGGCAAAGCATAAGACCACCAGCAAAGGAGAAAGAGGAATAGGAAAAGAAGTGTCCAAGATTATTTTTCAAAAAACAGGTGTACTCGTTCCTGTTGGCTCAGGTAACTGCTTTTGCTGAAATTAATATTCAAGTTCACATTTGTAAGGAATGATCACAGTAGGTACGAACTGAAACTGTCTACAAGCCAAGACACATAGCCTGGATGTCTGGGGCCGGAAAGGGGGGGTGGGGGAGGGCGGGATATAACGAAATGACATTTTGCAATTTTGTGACTGATTAGTTTGACACTCCGCTTTTTTATCATTTTTTATATGACTCTAGGTATTTGCAGAGACTGTAGATCGATTTTTGATTCGCAAGATGTTACTGCCTTGTCGCACGACATGGAACATATTACTTTGGTGAGTAACTGAAATGACGTGTATATACTGCAGTAAATGCTATAACACTAAGCTGAAATCCAGTACTTGTGATACATAAACAAGKGAGATCCTTCTCTTGCAGATTTATAAAAAAAAAAGTTACAAGAAGGGCCCTAACTATAAGAGGGGTGCTCTGGCTAGGGAACCCAACAGGGACGTAGCCAGGATTTTTCCAAAGGAGGGCCCAATTGATCAAAAATCCACGATTTTGTTTGGGCCCTCCAAGCGCCGAACCAAAACCAACAACAAAATAAAGGAAGAAAGAAAGAAAGAGGTCCTAAATGAACATAAATATGTAAGATAAATATAACTTAACATATAAATACATAAATACACTTATTTCAATAAAGTTAGTCACCAAAAACCTAGAAAGCTGAGATCACGGAGCATCATGGGAAACTTTTCATATCAAAAAAAACAYATAYATACAAAGMTTTTTTAATGCAAACTGCAGCTCGATGATGCTCAGAAGAGGTGAGACTGTAACCTGTAAAAGATTCGCAAGTCCATGAACAGTTATCAAGCGGTTGAACGTGTAAAATGAATCTACCCATAATCCTTGTCGGCCTCAGCTTTATAGCTTTTCAGGTGACTAACTTTATTGAAATAAGTGTATACATTTGCTGATTCAGTCCAGTCATATAGCGGAAAAAAGAGACTTGAAAAAGTGTCAATGGTAGTACTGCCCAAGCGTAGTCATTTCTCAGCTTTGCGCAAACATGAAATTGACGCAATTATTAGTTGGGTATAATAGAATGGATAAAAGGTATTTTGCAACGTATGTTTTCTTTTCTTAATATCTGACGGATTCAATGTACTTTGAATTGTAGGACGACGACAATGACGATCTTAATGTCGCTCATATGCATACTCCAAAACCAAGAATATCGTGCGTAGCAGAAACACCAGGAAGCATTTACCAACCAATAGATAGCTCTGACGAAAGTGATGAATTACAGGAACCTTCAAGSAGGCAAAAGCTGAACTCTTTTCTTGAAAGCAAGGATGTCAGTCCTGTCCGCTATCAGTTGAAAACTGCTTGGGGTGTTGTTGGAGACAGAACAAAGCGATACTACACCAGAAAAGCAAGGGAAGTTGTTTCTGCAGCCCTTGACGAAATTGCGCCTAATGATGCTGGAAAACTCTGGAGTGCCATTGCAATCTCCGCATCTCTAAAGCCAGACTCTTCATCTGAGAATGARGAGAATCTTGATATCACACTAATTGAATCTCTAACCGAATGTTATAACAATGCGAACCATTGGAGTAMGAGAAGACAACTACTCTCTATTATGGCTGRCAAAGTTAGTTTCAAAATGTTACAAAGGTGGATCCCTGGACTTACAAGATATAGATTTAATATTGCTCGCCACCATCAACTTCTGCATGGTAGGGGTTCACCTGTCTCAACCCCCTGTTACCGAAGAATGCATGTTTCTACCAAGCAATTGGACCATTTCTTGGATTTCATCACCAGTGCCCATATCATACAAGATTTGCCATTTGGTAGAAGAACTTTAAAGTTATCGAATAAAGAAGAAATAACTGTGCCGAATGTGGTGAGAAATGTCATACCAGAACGAATTATCCAGCAATATGAAGAGTTTTGCAAGGAAACAGGCTTTTCACCTATGGGAAGAAGTACCCTTCTCCGAATATTGAATACATGYTCTGCATCTGTTAGAAAATCCCTACAAGGATTGGATTATTTTAGTGCTGATGGAGCAAAGTCTTTTGACGACTTGGAGGAGGTCGTTCAGAAAATCGGAGATAGCGGCGGTGTAGGACTGTCATGGGCCAAGGAAAAGAAAGAGAAGCTGAAATTAGCGAAGCGGTATCTAAAGGGTGACTACAAGGTAACTTTTCACACCAACTGATATGGATATACAGTATAAAGTCGATAAAACTTTAAAAAGTACCACTACATTTGATGAATCGTCTCCGTTATACTTTTCTGCTAAGTTAATGACATAATTTTGTTAATTTAATAGGYTCATGTGTCAAATAATTCCACTGTAGCAGACCACTGTAGRTTCTACGCACTCRGCCGTCCAGACGACAAAGATTACCTCACTGCCTGTGATCATGACCATGATGACCTCTGTGATCGCTGTYAGGGACTTTCGTCCGTCATTCGCGAAATCGAAGAGGGCTTAGAACAAGCAGCTTGCTCTAAAGATACAAAAGAGGAAT